AGTCCGTCTCACAGTCTCACGGCCTCACAGTCTTATAGTCTACCTGTTTCTCTGTCTCACAGTCCATCTCTCAGTCTTATAGTCCACCTGTCTCTGTCTCACAGTCCATCTCACAGTCTCATAGTGCACCTGTCTCTCTGTCTCATATTCCGTCTCACAGTCTCACAGTCTCACAGTCTTATTGTCCACCGGTGTCTCTGTCTCACAGTCCATCTCACAGTCTTATAGTCCACCTGTCTCTCTGTCTCACAGTCTCAGTCTTATAGTGCACCTGTCTCTCTGTCTCACAGTCTCAGTCTTATAGTGCACCTGTCTCTCTGTTTCACAGTCCATCTCACTTACTTATTGATGTCATACAGAGCCGTTTTCCATATATGGTAATTTGCCTACAACCTCAATATTGTCCAGCTGCGAACTGTAGCACCTCTCAAACCACGTCCCTCGCTCACACCACCCCCCCTGAGCTACTGTCTGCAGCCGAACCGTTCTCAGCCTGGCAACTCCTACACTCAGTCTGTCTGTACCACTCGGCAGCATAATCATCCAGCTTCAGGATCTTGGCAAATCAGAACAAAGTGGGCTTTTGGAGGGGTGGGGGGTCTTAAAGAGACAAGCGCATCTACAGCTCGTTTCAAACAGAGGCTGAGATGAGAGCTTGCATTCTGGGGCTGTAACCCAGAAATTTATTTTTGAAAACTTTGAATCATTCAAAATTATACAAAGTTTAAGGTTAGCAATCCAGTTTAGCGTCAGCCTTCAACAGCCAGCCTTCACATCGCAATTTCTCCAGAAATTGCACTGTCTAGTTTAGTGAATGCATTCCTGTTGAGTGGTAAAAAACATCAACAAGGTTCTTGTACACCATAAAGTGTTAATCATCATCATCATCACTTTATTTAGTCACATTTTGTTCCACAGACTTTCATCAGACAAATTTGCTATACTAATATAATCAATATTTTTACATGACCACATGTATATAAAAAAGAGTCAGTTGTAGTGAGGAATCCATTTAATTTTTTAAAATACAACAGAAACACAAAGTTGTACTGACCATAATTTCAGCTTGTGGTAAAACAACGTCTTTAATGGGCATTTAGCATGGGAAAGTACAAATTATCCATTTGTGTGCGCGAAGCAAGATCCAAAAAAACAATTGTTTTTAATGCAAATTCTGATTATTTATTATTGGTCACTTGATAGGCACACAGTCTTGCTGTTACGGTTTTATTGCCAATAATATTCATCAGCTGTCCACGTACAAAACCACAACAGAGCGCTGGAGAATAACTACATGAAATTACAAACCAACTACATATTTTTTCTACCAGCGCAGTAAAGGGTTAGCTGGCTGATCTGAGATTTGATGCGGGAAGCTGCTGTTTTATCGCCAATTACTGATCAGCTGAGGTAACAAACATAAAACTAATCCAACAACATATTTTTTTTTACCAGTGCAGTAAAGGTTTAGCTGTCTGATCTGAGCTTCCATCTGTAAGCTACCTTTTATTGCCAATTAGTGATCAGTTGATTGTTTAGCCTACATATTTTACACCACAAGCTAAAGCCAGCGCTGGAGAATAATCCAATACAACATGATTTTTCTACTACCGGGGCAGTAAAGGTTTAGCTGGCTGATGCTTCCATGCTCTAAGCTAACGTTATGGTTTTATTACCAATTAATGTTGCTGATCAGCTGATTGTCTCGCTAATGTAACTGGCAAAGCACACACAGGCTGGAGAATAAGTAGGCCACATGAAATTACTGCAAATACATATTTTTCACCACTGACAGGGGAAACACCTCACGGCTCTCTGTGATTATGGCCTGCTACAAGCTAAAGCTATCAAACAACAGCTTTCATTTGCATTGCTAAAATCTGACAAACTTAAGTTAATTAACGTTACCTGTCCAGCAGAAAACAGACAACTTCAGCACCGCTTTGAAAACATCTGTCCCACATTATAGCTTTCCATCTGGGAAAATCCACATCATCTGTGATTTCTGCCATCAGCTGTTTGTGATTTCTGCCGTCAGCTGTTTATAACTGTCTGTACTCCTCTGGCTAAATGGTATGAAGATCCACAGGCTGTTGGCTCTCCTGTAAAATAACATGTGTGCTCCTTAATTTTTCCAAATGTCACTTCTCTTCTTACTTCTAATAAACCAGAAAACTACTCAGAGACTGTATAGTATTATTATTATAATTATTCCCTCTTCTTCTATGTATGTATTTAATGTAGTGACCGGTGTCTACTGCCGGAATTAAACAAGCAGAAGAAGAACGCCATGATGACGAAATGCGTTCTGTAGCGCTGTTTGTTCGTTGTCGACTGTGGTAGAAACATGATGACCAAATATAGCGACCTCCATAGAAGGGGGTGTCCGCGGTTATGTAGATAGAAATGGCTCATTCTAAGGTAATAAAAACATAACAGTTCATTCTGTAAGGTCTTTATAAAGCAACTCTTTAGGTATACATTCCAGGCTGGAATGAAACATCTGGTAAATAATTATCATTTTCTCAGGAAGTGACCCAGCTATATTCATGTTCCCACCAAGTAAATTCTGTGTGGTGCAGCATAATGCCGATCATTAGGACCATTTCATTTTGGTCATCAACATAACTGCTCTGTTTATGCCACCATACTAAGAATAAACTAAACAAACTCTGGTTTTCCTCTCCTACGGTGAGTTTCATATTGGTTGGTCAAATTCATATTGGCCTTGGTTTGAAGCAGTTCACACCAGTTAAGCTTTTTTGTTGTTAATTAATTAGTTTCAATGTTTAATTTGTTTGGCCATGTTTTTGAAATGGCCTTTGCATCATAGACAGTGCAGATTGTCCAGATCCCTGCATGGATCCAGTTAATGTTCATACGGCACACTGTATGGTAACAGTCTCTTTAGCATGAGCCAAGTCAGCCAGCTCATTTGTCTGATATACACCCACTCTTCACTGAAGTACTGCAGCTATGGTAATTTTCTGACTGCAGTGGATTTAACTGTGGTTAAATCCACACATAAGCGTAGGTGTTAATAAATGGCCAAAGTGCTTTAACTCACTTTAATCGGACATACCCTTCCCCAACACCCGGGCTATTATGAGGTGTTAGCTCACTTGTCTTACTCATTAGGCCATGGCTGGCTATCATATGACACCACGACTTTTATGTATTTGATAATAAACTGATCTCTGCTGATTCCCTGTATTAAAGCCTGCGGTTCTCTCAGCTTTGGTTGGAAAGCAGCTGGGCCAGACATCTGCTCTCAGCTGCAGCCCAGCCAACAGATGGGACAGGTGATAAGCTTAAGTCAGCACTTTCCAAAACTCAAGCAGAAGCCCCTTATGGTCTGTGTTTAGCTAACATTCGGCCCATCCGGCCACGGCTTCCTATTTAACAAAAACACCCTAAGCCTCAACTTGCTATCTGACTTTTTAATTTGCTGGAAAAAACATTAGTCCTTGTGATAGAATAACTCTTCTCGCCTTTCTTCCTGCTCTGCAGCGAGGCCAAACGTGACCATTAAAGCAGAGATGGTACAACGAGGAGGAAGTGAGTTCTGGGTGGTCTCTTGCATTTCATCTGGAGGGAGGCCTGACACTGACATCTACTTGGCTTTGAACGCCGATGAAGAGCTGCAGAGAGAGAACAAAACAGACTCAGAAATCCAGACAAGCTCTGTCCTCCTCCCTGCAACCGTGTATGAGGGGCGCAATGTCACCTGTGTGTTTGACCACCCCAAATTTACACACAAAGTGTCAAAAGTCATAACACTGCCATCTTTCTGTGAGTATTATCAGTGTTTTATATGCCAAAACCTATGCTCATGAGGTAGAAGTTACAGAAAACGGTCATGTGCTTTCTATTCTGCAGATTTGTCAGGAGTTCAGATGTTGTACTCAGAGCTGGGAAGCAAGAGTGATGACTTCAAAGACTTCCAAGAATTTTTAGAGCTGCAGGAAGGACAGAGTGACACTGTCATCAGCCTGCAGGTCACTGGGAATCTGCCACGTTACAATGTTACCTGCAAAAAGTAAGAAATATTTGGTGTTAAAGGAGCACATAACATTTAGTTTATTCATCATGGAGAGCACTACTCAACCTGTGAAAACAGTAACCCTTCTGTTGCTTTAAAGGAGCTTTCTTAAGTATGAAAAGTGTCATTGTTATTTTTGTTTGTAGTCTTACAATTTTTAACAGAAAGCCTGCGTGAAGTTTGAAAAACATGGGCTTTTACCAGGCAGGGGAAAATTGAGAAAAGATGCTATTGAGCTGCATTATGGGAAGTGTAGGGTCCAGTATTTTTGTAGTTTGACCCATGATAGGGAATAAATTTCAGATATTTTGGAATTAGATCATTGATTTTGATCATTATTTTTTAATTGGTCTTTTATGAGTCCCCTAACTTTATGAAGGTGCAACATTAAATCTCCAGAGAAGCACTTAAAGACATGTCTTTATTCCAGTATGCTGATAAATGAAACATGATCAACTTTTATTAATTAATATAATCATTAGATATTAATCATTAGAATCATTATTTTAGTCACTCCATACATGGTTGACTGTAGAATTGAGCCTGATGTAAAATCTGGCAACTTCTAGCCTATAATTGTATATTTTCTTTTTCGCTTGTAACAAAACAAAAATAAAATAATCAAATTTTCTTTTTGTTTTGTTACAAGTGTCTTTTTTATGTTTCACATGGAAAGAAATGAAGAAAAACATCCAATAACAGGTAACATCAGGACCAATGTACATCGAGAGAGAAACAACCTACGTATCCTGTTGAGGATGTGGTAACATGTTCAGTGGCACCAAACCACAAGTGACAGACGGCAGGAACCAGATTTAGATGTTTCCTGCTTAAAATAATAATTTATTTAAGATTTAACTGTAATATGTTGATATTGGTAAACTGAAGCATGAATTCCTCTTTGTATATGTGCTTGTGTTTCCTTATAGAGATGATTGGCCCTTGCCTGAGGGAGTGGAGCTGGTTGGTAGCAACCTCACAGTTCTGGGTCCTGTGGGGCATCAGCATGCTGGTCTTTACGAATGTTTCCTCTCCTATCACCATCATCAAGCAACGCTTAAGTTTAATATCACAGTTAAACTCAAGTTGCGCAGCTTGGTGAGTGAAACTCTTTCCGTGTGTTTCTGAAAAGACTTTCATGATCACAGTTTGAATTTTCTGCATTGTGTGACTATGAAATATTGATGTGGAACTTTCTCTCCGCGCCCTTCCTCTCAGTTCCCCCCACTATACGAGTTGCTTTGAGGACTGAAGATGGACACAGGGTGATTGAGTGTTCAGCTGCTGATTCTGTTCCTGCAGCCAACATGTCCTGGCTTCTACCGGTGGGTGTGTCTGGAGTCTCTTGGTTCAATTTCACTTCTCATAATGGAAGCCACTCTGTCAGGGGAGTTTTACTCCTCCCTGCCTGCTTGCCTTGGGAGCTCACTGCAGAGTGCGTGATAAATCACCCTGCGTTTGAGGAGCCACAGAACAGAAGCATAATACTCCCTCTTTGCGGTATGTTCAACAAATTGAGCAATAGTTAATTTTGTCTGAGTAGTGGACACATTTGGCCATGCAATCGCACCATAGATTTGAGCTTTTTCTCAAGAGAAACCCCTCACTTCTTGTAGATTAACTTCTCTTTCCCATGCAGCTCGACCTAACATCACCATCAGCTCCTGCACTGAGTGGAAAGACGGTTATGAGTACACAAAGGTGGACTGCTCTGTGGACAGTGTTGCCCCTGAACCAAACATAACCTGGCATGTTGGAAAGAGTGACATCACTTCTATGTCAGAGACTAAAGTCCTGGTCAATGATTTTGTATCAACCCGTAGCTCTGTGCATTTGAGGTCGTCTTTGTATTCTGGTCAGGATTTGACCTGCATGGTGGAGCATCCAAGCCTGGACGCACCAGAAAAAAGAACAATACACAATCTTGTGCACAGTATGTTATTTCTTTTGTTGAGATATTTCTCCCTGTGGTTCACACACACACACACACACACACACACACACACATACAGCTACTCATCCTCACCCCTTGTTTTCTTTTCAGAAACCCATCTGAGTGTGTCTCTGGTGAGACAGCAGAACTCTCCTATCTTGCTGGCAGTGTGTGAGTGCAGAGGGGAGAGCGTTGGGGCGAACCTTGCCTGGGTCCTTCCTGAAAACACCAAAGGCAAAACATCCCTCCAGTCACAGTATGAGGGCCATGTCCTGAAAGCCAGGCTGACTTATCAGTTTCCTCTTGCTCTTCATGAGGGGCAGGACCTGACCTGTGTTTATCATTTTGAACATGGAGCCACAGAGAAGAGGACCATTCATATCCCCAGATACTGTGAGTTTAACAGAAACACACCCCTGTTATTTCAAATGTAGAAATTCACATAAATGCATTTCAGAGATTCGGTTCATCTTCAAGGTTCAAATGATTTTTCTGCAGATATCTCTTCTGTGAGAGTCCTAAACCACACAACTCCTCTGCAAAGCCGCTACGGTGGTAAACCCATCATACACCGACTGACTCTCCAGGAAAATCATCACAATCAGAGAGTTCTGCTCCGAGTTGAAAGCAACGTGCCAGAGTACAACCTCACTTGTAAAAGGTAGCATATCCTCTATCACATCCACACAGAGTGTACTGTATAGGTAATGTACTGGATGAAACGCAATGTGCTGCGAAATGGATGTTATCCAGCATATTCTTGACATTATATTATTATTATTATTATGTGTTGAGATATCCCAAAACCTAAACCAAGAATGAATTGATCATACTATCGTAGCCAAAGCCTGATACATCTTATGGCTCTGTACCTTAGTCCTTCATCTTCCAAAAAATATTTAAACATGGGCACTCCTTTTGAGTAAATCCCACACACACATCCTGCTGCTGTAAATAGTCATTAGAGAAACAAATGTGTATTAAATTGTGTATTTACTCCTGTTATGTATTTTTGAGTAACATTTGATTAAAACTAAAGTGCCAAGCTGTTATAGAAAATTACCACTCCTTTTTAAAATCAAATGAAACTTTGTATTTGTGGTGCAATTTTAAAGATTTGTGTCTTTAGTAGGAGCACATTGACTTGGAATCAAGTGCCACATGATCAGAGTAGGGAAGTTAGAAAATAACACATTTTTTATTTTGGTCTTTTCAAGTGATTTGTTCACAAGAAGGGTAAGATAAAAAAAAGAGTAATTTAAAAACAAATTCAGTTAAAAGTCACTTGTGTTTCAGGAGTGACGGCTCATATGTTCTTATGGATGGAGTTGCGATGGTCTTCCAGTCAGAGCTCACAATGCTGGATGAAGGCCTCTACACCTGCCAGGCGTCCTTCTATCACCACACAGCCACAGTCAACATTGAAGTGGAGATCATGAACAAAGAAGAACAGCTTAGTGAGAACTTACCCTGTTCTATTTTCCATCTACATTGAGAAAACAGAGTGACATGTTTACTTCTAATCATGTCAACATATTGTATATGGTATTTTATCAGACTTAGGTCTAGTATTTGGCTCTGACAAGTGTGTGTATGTGTTTCAGCACTGGTGACCATGATCTGCATCGGTTCAGCTTTGGCCATCATCTGCATCACAGTGGTCATGTTCTGGTTGTGCTGGTGAGTTAAATGCCTCAAGTGCCATGTTGCAGCTTGGCAGGTGATGTCTTGACGGGCAAATGAGGGCAATGCTGCTGGTGAAACACAATACGAGACAAACAGGATGTAAGATCGTTAACCCAACTCACCAAAACCCTCAGTATCATGCAGTTATTCATAAACAGGAAGTAATGTGGCTAAAGCAGACAGGTGCCTCTGCCACCGCAGCCCTGCTTGTAGACAGGTAGAAAATGTTCCCTCTATCAGAGACAACAACAGATTTATTTTCCAGTTTCCTGCTCTGGCTTTTTGCAGTGTTACGTCTGGCACTTTCAGCAGTAGACTGCTGTTAGTTTGGCTCATTATCATCTATGTCACATTGCAAGAGCGAAGGTAAAAGGTTCAAAAAGTCCACATCTTCGGAAGTTATTAGTATAATGAAATTCGAGCTGCCATTCATCAATGAAAAAAAACCTCCACAAATCCATCTCTTAATCTTTTTGCTTTTGGAAAAAATCAGTGAATCACTTGTCTTTTACGACTAGTGTGGGATATCTGTCATGATCCTGTGTTTATGGTTTCTGCCTGCAGAAGTTTGCACATTTCCATGTTCACTGCCAAACATAACTTCTCTCAAGAATGTTGTCACGATCAGATCAGGCCTCGCTGTGAAGAAAGCTGCACTGTGCAGCACAACTGTGGTTTAGAATGGGTTTCAATAGGCCTTCGGCACTGGTCAGAACATTTGGTCAAGGTGCCATTGGTTGACAGAGCCTTGGTCCCATTATCCCTTACTCCAGAGGGAGGGTCCTGTCAGGCTAATTTGGGAAGGTCAATCACACAGGGTACATAAGAAAACATGACTCCCCAGGAGAAAAACTATTTTGGGACTAACCCTCCCTCCCCCTCCAATACTGGGAACACTTTTTGACAGCAGCAGGTCTTCACTGAGTTGATGTCACTGAGGTCATAATGAACAAAGTGAGATGCAGCATCTGACATCAGAGATCAGTGATGAGGAGTGGGGTCGTCACTTGTCTCCATTGATATTCCTGACGTACAATGCATTCACACCTGCACTTTACCCGTTTGAACTGACTCAGTGTCTCAGGTTAAGTCACAGTGCCACCTAGTGGTGTTGTTCAGCCCTACAAGTTCCTCAACAGCAGGTTCATTCACGATTATTCAACTTTCTTTTTTTGTTTTACAGCAACATAAATAGCAAGACGCAATATAAGGTAAGACTACAATCAGTTAACATGCATGTTTCTTGCTCATAAATCCTACTTTTTGTTTAAAATTTGTAATTGTTCTGAATTTGAAACCAAATTCAACCTGTTTTCGTTCTCTCTTGTTGCTGCACACTCTCTCTATGATACAGAAGAAGGAGTCTCTCTCACCCTTGACGGCTCTGATGCAAGAGCCCGGTTCTCCTGAGGTGAAGAAGCCATCAGTGGACGGGAAACACAGTGAGGAATCTGCTAAGATGGTCAGTTACTCCATAGTCATTGACGTCAAGAGTACAGTGTGAAGACAGAAGATGCTTTGGATTAGACATTTAGCTTTACACTGTGCACGAAGGCTTACTGGAACTGCAGCATTGTTTATGATACCAGTGTATTATGAGCTCAGTGTGATATGTGAAAGGATCCTCTGTTTATGTACTGAAATACCAGTTCTTTTTTAAGTTTTTAGTTTTGATTGATTGGCATTAATGATTTTAAATGTAGCCTATTACTTTTGCACTTTTTTAAAAACCTGACTTGAATTTTGTACTGTTTTATGCACATTGTATTTTCCAGTATTTGTCAATAAAATCATCCAAATATAATCTTTTCCCATATTGTTTAATTTGTTACCATGACTGTACTACAACAAACATATTTCCAGATTTAGTAGACATGGCTGACAGATTGGCTGTGACTTTAGCTACACACCAGCTGCCCTTGTGATATCTTTGGTTGACTAAATTAGTGAAGGACCATCTGCTGTGACAACAGGAGTAATTCTATAAATAAATTCCTGTACAGTATATGATCCAGCTGCAGACAGACTCATCCTCAGCTTATCCGCCCACATCAGGTTGCAGTGTTCTAACACCCTCTTGTGGCAAATGGCCGCACACACAGCTGAGAGAATAGGGTTTTAGTCACGACCATTTAGGTTTGTGAAGAGTTCCGTGGAGTAATAAAAATATTACATAATTAAAATTGTAATTTTTCAGTGTATAGGAGGTTATATGCCACACAACTGCTGTACTTTCCAACAAATTAATGAATTCAATAATCATGAGTATAGGTGCTCTTAAGAATATTGTGTATTTAAATTGTTTTTTGCTTTTTCAGTATTTTTTCAATAGGAAAATCTTAACATTTACATAACTTGGTTTCTTGTAATATGTATTTTAATTGTAATTGGTGGCCTGTATATATGTATCTTTGTTTTCATTTTAACAAAAGACAGACCTGCATGCACTGGATATTGACACACATATAGATTGGCACATCATCACATCACTCTGTATTACATAAAAATCATGTACAAATAATGCAGATAATTAAATTCTCTAGAACAGATTACAGAAGCTTCAATATGTAGTAACCAAAAACAATACATTTAGATAAAATTGTACAACTGAGCTTTGAAAAACAGCAGATCCAAGATGCAAAAAAAGTGAGGAAAATGTCAGAGACACAGACATTCTTTTGAGTCCTGTCAAATAAATTCATCTTTTCTTGTAGACACAGGGCTTCAACTGAAGCCCAAATTTCTTTACATTTTCTGGAGAATCTCCCGTCTTCATAAATTCAAATGAGTAGAAATGAGTGTTCTCTGTGTCCTAAAGACAAAAACAGAACAAAACATTAACATACAATAAACCAGTTTACCAAATGTTCTTTTCTACATGTTTCCTGCCCTCAGCACCACAGCCACATGAAAGATGTAGCTGCCAGCTACTTACTTGCCCTTTGAGCCAACCACCTTCTTAAAAAGGAAAAATATGATATCTCTACTAACAATAAATGTTGTATATTATATGTTTAAGATTGTACAGCTGAAAACAAAAGTGTAAAAGGAAGATGTTTACATACTCAACTAACCATTTGCTTCATCTTAAACAGGCTTCACGTAACTGGAGTATGAGCTTTCCATTTCATTTAAAAACAAGTGTGACAATGCATGTGCTAACTTGGTTAAGATTTTAAAAATGGTGCATTAGGGAAGGTAGATTAATAATGTGTGTTTCTCTTCATCTGTAAACATGTTGACTGATGTCATCTTGTTTGTTGCCTCACCTTGGACACCAACTTGAAACCCAGACTTGCCAGGGCAGTGACGAAGCTCCGCACGTTCTCAAACCTACTCGCCACCTCTGCTATTTTAAGGACACCCCTGCAATAATTGTGCAAAGTTATACAGAGAATATATAATATTTAAATGCCATGTGTATACTGAATCAATATTACATTTTTTACCCCATCTTTAAGACACGATTGGCCTCTGCTAGAAAATCTGCCAGGTTGGTTCCCATCAGAGAAAGGCAGAACACAGCAATGTCCACAGAACCACCATGAAGCGGGACCTGCTCAGAGAGAATGTGTGTTTTATTTTCCAGCCATCACAGAGACTCTACCTGAATTAGCAAACTAAAGCCACACACTCACGCTGGCCATGTCACAGACTGTGACAAGCTCACAGGCAGCTGCCAGGTCGAAGCTGTGCACTTTGTTCTTCACACTGCGTGCTATTTTACAGTCACCACAACCAAAGTCTGCAACCACCAGAGAGGAAGGTCTGAAATAAATAACACACTTTGTGTTTGCACAGTATATTAAACTGAAAGGAACAGCTCATATGAAATAATAGCATATGCACAGAAAAGAAACAGCGAGTGTCGGCCAGAATTGATCATCCATTCTCAAAGTGCTGACATTAACAAGGCCATCATCTCACAGCGGCCAAATGAAGCATCAATTAAACACCCACAGTGAAGCATTATCTCCTGCATTACACCTCACAGACAATAAGTCCTCAGCAGAGTAATGTAAGGTATTTACAGTATACAGCTGAGGTGGATAATGGGAGTTTAGGAGCCACAGCACAAACAACCTGCCTGAAGAAGAAACATGAAGGATATTTTGTCCTTTCGGGGTGATGGCCCTGTTAATGGCTTGGGAGAAGGCTGACGCTAAACGAGTGTGTCTAACTAATAGGGGTGAAACGATGCATCTTATGATACTGTATTGATCACTGAAAGGATGTAACTTTAGTACAATGAATCAAACATTTTCTGTTAAAAATGTGTTGAATCGTGCAGATGATGAGCTGAAATGATCCAGAATCTCATGTCTCTGTCACAACTGGGCTGTTAAGTGCTGCTTTTCTTTTTCTGTATGCAGCTCAGAAAGAATCTAATTCAGGAAATTAATGGACAATTGAAAATTCATTCATGACCATCATCACACATTGAACTCTACTGTGACTTATAATATTCCTTGTAATTTGGTGTTTGTTTGTCCATCAAACCTTAATGGAAAAGTTCAGAAATCACTATCAGAAATATGTGTGTTGAACCTTTGCTAGGTGTGTTCAGCAATTCTGACAAAAAGCTAGTAAGAGGACTTTTTCTGCTCTAAAAAAAGGTCAAGAATGAATTATCAGGCCCAAATTATAAACCTTAGTTTGATGTTATGGACTGAGACACTGATTTCTACCATATAGCCTTCTTCAGAAGTGTTAAATTTCACTATTATAATATTACTTGACTATAATATCTCACTTTAGTCGAATGTAAGAGATGATCTCATCCACTGGATTGGCGGGCCACCTCTGAACCTGAGCCGTGTATCCTCTGTGGTAGATCCCGAAGGCCTGCGGATCCTGTTTGAACATGCGCCTTGCCTCACCGCTGGACGTGCTGTACAAAACTTCGTTAATGTAGCGGAAACGAGCCGAATCCAAACGCTGCTCCATGCGGGACCTGAGGGAGGCAGAGCGGTCCTGTATCACCTCTTCTTCTGGTACCGCCGGCTCATCCTTTGTCTCTGCAGGACTCTCCCGCCCGACTCTTTCCTGGGTGTGCAGCATTTTCCGTAGCTTCTCTCTTTTCAGACTCTGTTCTTTGCTCAGCTCAGGTTTCAGTTTTTTCGTGGGTAACTGGTGTTGGCCCTCTGGGATCTCCACTTCAGGTTCATCTGCTTTCTGTTTTGATCCACCTGCAGAAGATTCAGTTGCACCTTTTTCAACTTTGCCACCCTTTGTTTTTTTCTCATTGTCAAGCCGCTGCTTTTCTTTTCTGAGCGTCTGTGTTTCTGTTGCACAGGATGTGCCAGTGCCCTCTTCTTTATTTTTCCTTTTCTGTGGTTTACGTTCCTTTTTCTCAGCTGGTGTCTGACTGATTGTTTCACTGTTGTTGTTGCTATATGAATCTGTTTTGACTTGTTCCATTGGCTTCTGTTTCTCTGCAGATTCGAGTTTATTTTCTTCCTTCTCGAGTTTATTCTGGCTGTATTTATTTTTACATTTCCTCTTGTTCTTCATTTTGTTTTTCCACTGTTGTCTGCTCAGTTTCTCTGTGTTCTCTGGATCGTTTATGTTTGCCTTTGCAAATTTTGTAATTCCTTTATTCTTGGTCTCGCCCACAGATGTGGTTTTTACCTTTTGAGTGCCTTTAAAAAGAAAGAAAACATTTAAATATTATCTCATGTTTAAATTGTGTAAAACACCAACTTTGTTCTGTTGTATGAATCCATTAAATACATATTAACACTGTGCAATGTAAATAAAATCTAAAGCCTTTAACCAGTTAATTACTCACCAAATGTGTCTTTCTTCCTCTTTGTTATTACAGGCTTCTCCTCATTAACAGTCTGATCTAAGCTGTCGTTCCCTTGCTGCTCTCCTGTTGTCTCTGCTTGCTTTCGCCTTTTCCTTCTGTACTTCTTTTTCTTGCTATGTGATGGGGCCACGTCTGTATCGCTGTCACTGTCCTGCTGATGGTCATCACTCTTCCACTCTGGTACTGATCCCAGTGTCTGGAGGGTCCGCAGCAGGCTCTTCTTTCCAACAACCTTAGACTGACAAGGGCATGAATGCAGTTAATGTAATTTGTCTTTTAAATGACATGTGCACCCTAATGATGGACAAGATAATACATACTGTATCAAGATAAGCAGTATCACTTTTGCAGCATTACTGTGGGAAATCATATTTTAATAAGGAAAAACTTTAATATAACATTTGTTGATGACTTTGCTCAGGAAAGGAAAACTGTTTTTATCGTATGTGTGTGTGGTGTGCATATGTTGATCTCAAGGGTTTTTTAACCTGAATTAAATACATTTTCAAATGTGTACTGTATGTGTTGTTGTTTTTTGTGCATTTATCTATTTTTTCCTTTTTCTATTCCATATTTGACTGTCCCCCAGAACTTGAATCATTAAAACAAATAACAAACACTCACACAAAATAAATAAACAAAACAAACTATGAAAATTAATTTGTTTAATTGCTGACTATCCTCTGGCCATTTCCATCCATCTAACAGTAATCAGTCTCACTAACTGCTTTTGTATTTTGTATTTACACAACACAGGGGCCTAAATAAATATGTATATCATATACTATTATAGGTGGTATGGGAATACTGGCTAGCTCTGATGTCAGTACACCTTACTTGCAGCAAGTAACTAAACAGAATCTGTATTTACCTTGACATTTGTGCTGTTCGCCTTCTGGGTGTTTCTGAGGACAGTGTTGCTCAGGACTTGAGCGGCTTGTTCGTCATTCCAGTCTTCATCCTCATTAAACATTTTCAGCGTTTTCCCCGAGGACTGT